TGGCCACCACATAAACCTTCAGAGTGGTGGAGGATAACCCTGCGGAGAATCGCTCCTGCAGAAACTCCAGAACTGTACCAACTGGGCAGTTGACTGGGTCTTGCAGTCGCTGTCCGCACCAAGAGGTGAAAATTTTCCACTTCAAGGCTTACAGTTTCCTCGTGGCAGGAGGTCTGGACTGGAGTATGGTCTCAACAACCTCAGTTGAGAGACCAGATGCTATGAGCTGTGCCCCCTCAGGGGCCACGCCCACAACTTCCATAACATAGCAGGGGTGAAGGATGGTGCCCCCCGCCTGAGAGAGGAGGTCCTTCCTGATCGGAATCTCCAGTGGAGAGCCGTCGAGGAGGGACACCAGGTCCGAGAACCATACTCGGGCTGGTCAGAACGGGGCTACTAGCAAAAGACGGACCCCGTCCCAGCGTACTCTCTCCAGAACTCCCGGCCCAAGTGGAGCCGGATGCGTGAGGGAGAACCAGAGCGGACAGTGTGTGGTTTCTTGCGACGCGAATAGATCCACTTCCGCCTGGCCCCCAAAGGAGCTCCATCACTTCTGGGTGGAGCCTCCATTCCCCGGGCATCAGCCCCTGTCTCGACAGTATGTCTGCTCCCTGATTGAGATGCCCAGGGATGTAGACTGGTCTTAGCGAGATGAACTTTCCCTGAGCCCACAGGAGGATCTGGTGCGCCAGCCTGAAAAGGGGGCGCAAGCACAGACCCCACTGCCGATTTATGTAGGAGACCACCGATGTGTTGTCTGTGCGGACAAGCACATGATGTCACCTTAGATCTGGAAGGAAGTGTTTCACAGCTCGAAACACGGCCAGCATCTCCAGGCAGTTGATGTGCCACATGAGATAATGGCCTTCCCACAGACCTGGGCAGAGCGGCCACTCATGACTCCCTCCCTCAACCCCTCACGGCTGTGAGAATTGCTTCGATACGAGCAGGAGACAACTGTGCCTGCATCATTGTCGAATACCACACCACGCCCAGATAAGTGGTCCTCTGTAGTGGAGAAAGCAGTTTGGCGACTGCGTCGGATTCCTCTCCCTCCCTAGTGTCCAGGTCTTTTAGCAGGTCGGCCTGGTACACCTGCAACACCGCCATAGTGTGCAGACATACACCGGCCTGACCTGCCGCCGAATGCGCTTTCCCAACTAGGCTGGATGTCAGTCTTACTGGCCTAGTAGGAAGCTTCGGGGCCTTCAGAGACGATGCTGATGACGGGGACAGATAGCTCGCGAGCGTCTGTTCCACCGCCGGCATCGCCCCATATCCCTTCTCATTCAGCCCTGTGATGCTGGAGTAATTAGATACTGTGGGGCTGAAGAGTCGGGTTGGTTTCTCCCACGATCTCGAAAGCTCAGAATGGAGATCGGGGAAAAAAGGAAGCCCAGACGTGAAGGTTGCGATCTAGATTTAAGGAAGCGCTCGTCCAACTTGCTCTTGGGACGAGCGTCCTGTTTCTCGGCTGGCCATTCGATGTTCAGTTTAGCTACAGCACGAGTCACAACCTCCACGAGCTCCTCATACGCGAGGGACTGTGGTGGCGTGTCCACAGTCTCCTCCGTTTCGACGCTCATCAGATCAACGTCCTCGGAGGAAGATAGATGAAGCGCCTGGCCCTCTCTCCGGGGGGAAGAAACCGCTGGGCGGGCTTCCGATCCCTGAGAGGGGGCCGTGGATCTAGCGGGTGAGGACCGAGAAAAGTACGAGCCCGTCTCGGATCCCTCCACTAAATCCACTTGTGATCCCCACGATAACAGCCGCCACTGTGCCTCAGCAACAGTGGGGCCGGACCCAGCAGGATCGCGAACCTGGCCGCTTTCATTGAAGACGGCCAGGCGGGAGCGAAGCACACGGAGCGGGAGAAGCTCACAATCATGGCAGTCAGCCCCCTCGAGAGCTGCCCGTGCATGCTCCGCTCCCAAACAGACGACGCACAAATCGTGTGTATCCCCACCCGAGATATAACGTGGGCTGGGAGGAACACACGACTTGAAACGCCGTCCGCTCGCCACATTTGCTTTTGATTTACACTTTGGCATTTTTCACACTTGCTAACAGAGTTTTTCTGACTGACTGAGTGCTTTGCATACATTCACACACACACCACAGACACGCTCGCTGAAGAGCAAAAAGCTAACGTGTGCTTGCCGGATGCTCCTTTATGCTTCCTGGTTGCTTACGTCACCCCGCTCGAGACGTCTCGCTTCGCTATTGGACTGATTTCACACATGCTTCAGTACAGTGTCTCACCGGGGGCTTTCCCAAAGCATTCGACGCAGCGTCTCGTTCCCTTCGGGGAACCATGGTTACATATGTAACCTCGAGACGTTTTTCTTAGACAAAATATTTTCTTCTTAACTTTACCTAAAAATCCACCAGATGCTCCATACGTAAATTCTCCAGATGTGTGTCGTTAAAAAGGCTCAATAGGCTACGCATCCTTTGACCCACTGAACTTTTCCCTGAACTTTTGGCAAAGTTCACCAGGATACACTCGCAGGTGCATACCATAAAATGGATGGAATGGATATCCTTTGATCACTGAACTTTTTACCTAACATTCTAACAAAGTTCAAAATGCCAGACCCTCGCAATCTCACCAGATTACGATTATAAAACAACCCCGAAAACATCCTTAGAAAGGTTCACACACGCAGGTGCATACCATAAAATGGATGGAATGGATATCCTTTGATCACTGAACAGAAAAATGATCTGTTTTGATCACTGAACTTTAGGTGACACAACACCAAAGTTCACAATGCCAGATCCCTCAGAATTTATTAGATTGCATACGAGTCACAACCCCAGAAACATCTTTAGATGTTTTACAACCTTTTGAAATACAGTAGCTACACTGATATGGACGCATCAGTAATCATACAACCCAGACACCCACCACCATTTTTATTTCGCTGCACTGCGTGAGACGAAATATTTGCATTTCGTACCATGTTGTAAAAACTTTAGACGTTTAATTACGTACGTCTGTTTCAATTGATAGATAACACACCACAAGTGTTACGGGTGGAAAATCAAAGAGTCCCTGTCTTGTTTTTACCGCTTTCATCCTGATATTTTAACTATGGTGTAACCTACGTCTTCAAACTGTTATACCACACCGCAAATTTTAAGATTGACAAAAATCAAAGAGTAAATAAAGGAATTACTAAATTAAGTGTGAATAACTAAACTAAAATAAAACAACATTTTCCTGTGGTTTATATGTGATTGTTTAGAAGGAAAACTTGTATAGGCTAACCTAATTTTTAAAATGAAAAAGCTTTAGGATGAATGCTGAATGGTTTCATCAATTAAGAAATGTCAAAGGTTTATTAAAACCAACTCTCTTTAATTTTAAAAACATTATTTTGTTTAATTATTTTACCATACATTTCAATATTTGCGTTGGTCTCTCCTTACGGTGTTAGGGGCAGGTAGTGGGGGTGTGGTTTTACCACGACGCTGGTAACTTCATTCTGAGTTTGTGCAGCGGCGAGTGAGGATGTGTGCCGGAACAGCATAAGATGCTCGACTCTTTTTATTTTTTAACTTGTATAACAATCTCTACCTTTTTTTTAATTATTATTGTAATGTTAGACTACAAGATTTTGACAACTACCGTATGCTGTTGTTTTAACGAACGTGTCTGGTACTTTTTGTTTTAGATCAGCGTAACATGCTCAGCTCTTTTTATTTTTTATTTTATTTAACTTTGTAGCAGTAACAAACTCTACCTTTTTAAAAGTGCAACATAGATTTTGACAAGTATCTTATGCTGTTGCTTAACTGTCTGATATTTTTTGTTTTAGATCACGGTAAGATCCTCAACACTTTTTATTTTATTTAACTTGGTCAAACTTTGCCTTTCCTAAAATTGTTTAACAACGCTTAAATGCTCGCCTCGCCTTGACTTGTTTTTACTGTTTTTCTGGAAAACACAGTCATTACATTGCTCATATTGCATGTATGTTTGATGTTTTTCTTCAAATGTGTGTGAAAAAACTTTAATAAAAACTTCCCTTGATCCCGTTTACCAATTGATACACCATTTCACAAAGTTTAAGTTTAAAGCACATAGTTTTTGAACAGTTTCAATGTCCTGCTTCAAAAACACATTCCAAAACAAAAAGAGAACTCATAAATTCCTTTGGATTGGTGGGGTGGATAAACAGATGTCCAGTTAGATGGGTGGGGGATGTACATGAACAGGTGTCCAAACAGGTGTCCAGTTAGGGTATAATTCTGTCATTATTGGGGTGGAATTTTTATGAGTCATCAATCAAATTTTTGACACTTAGTCGCCTATACCCTCTCTCACAAACCATTATTATTCTTCATGATTTATGGTACATTCCTAAATACAGTACATCCACTGATCTATCTGGTTGATCTATAGTCTGTAAACTTCTAGAATCTCTCACATCAGGAAAACTACTTCTATATTAAGTTATCTATAATCTAATTTAAAGTTACATCCACATGCTCAAAACAGATGGTTGTCAAGGGTAACCTGTAAATGTGAGATTAATTAAATTTGTTAAATATTTTAAAAACACTGATGTTTCATTTTGCTCTCTAAAAACTGATTGGATTTATTCTTTTGACACATAAAGATTAATATAAAAATAAATATTTATTGATAACAGAAAAGTCAATTATAATTTTGTTAATAAGATTATTTATTTATTTAGAATGTTAATGTAACTTAAATTGAAAAAAGTTTGAAAACCCCTTCTATAAATTTGCATGCATAAAAAGGGTTATTTTTAAAAGTAAATTTTGCAAAGTTGGTCTCCACAATGAACACAGGCTACCTGGTTAAATTGTGAGATGATGTCAAAAAATATTCTTTAATCAATGGCTCAGTGTTTTCTCTTTCTCCCTTGTTTTAGAGTACACTGATGCTGATGAAAAATCAAAGTAAAGACTTTTTTTCTATTACTGCTATAGCTTTGAAATAAGAAATAAGTCCAGTGTAGGGACTAGTGTCTTTTTTATTGATTATCTAATATATTTAGTTACAACATACCATTGTACTATCTTTTAAGCTCTCATCCAGCTTTTTGTGTCACTTATGTTCATTTTACAAGTAATGCTGAAGTCCTGCATGGCCATTTTGAGATGCAATATTACTTATTCATTCACTTGTCTGATTCATTAATCAGACAAAAAAAACCCCACTTTTATTAGTATATTTTTAACTTTATTATTTCTCCACTGAACATTTCTAAAAAGAAATAAAATGAGTCAAAGTAGCTCATTTTGTCTTCCAGTCAACTTTTTACATGCTGCTTTTCACACACACAAAGGGCCTCCTTTCAGAACATGGTGTATCATTCCAATTTCCATCTGTTGCAAGAAAGAAAAAAAAAATTATAATTTTTTTTTGCATTATGCATAAACATAAACACTCATGTTTATTTAGTAGGGCAGACACAGAATTATTAGTATTTGATGTCTTGAATCACTGACAAATATGTCTGAATTCAACAAACTGGGAAAAATATATAGCTTTTTTGGAAATATTATGTAGCACTATATACCAATCTGCTGATCTGATGGTTTAACATAATTGAAATTGATGGGGCGTTTATCATATGATTTCATGAACATTAAAAGCAGTTACTTTTGAAGTTCATCTCAAGGCAGTCCTCATTATTTTTGTTATTGGGCTCTCCAGGAGACCATATTTGGAAGTTAAATTTAGATCCATCACTCCAGAGCCAAACTCCCTCCTGTGAAAAGAAAAAAGTAAAAAGACCATTTTATGACCACAGCATGATTTTATCTTTAATTATCTTTAAGATGATTCCTCATGATTGTATCCTGCTTTATAAATGTCAAATATACAAACAGAGAAATTAACAGAAAATAATTCCCAGAAAACTATTTCAAGTACCAAAAATAAATGATGAGAACACATCTACTGTGTTTATGAATTTGAAATATGTTTTTAATATGTGACCCTGGTCCACAAAACCAGTCATAATGGTCATTTTTTGAAATTAGGATTTATACATCATACAAGTTGAATAAATAAGCTTTCCATTGATGTATGGTTTGTTAGGATAGGGCGATATTTGGCCGAGATACAACTATTTGAAAATCTGGAATCTGAGGGTGCAAAAACATCAAAATACTGAGAAAATCACCTTTATAGTTGTCCAAATGAAGTTCTTAGCAATGGATATTACTAATCAAAAATTAAGTTTTGATATATTTACGGTAGGAAATTTACTAAATATCTTCATGGAACATGATCTTTACTTAATGATTTTTTGACATTAAAAAATCGATAATTTTGACCCATACAATGTATTTTTGCCATTTGCTACAAATATACCCGTGCTACTTATTACTGGTTTTGTGGTCCAGGGTCACATATATGCAAATTGTCCAACAGCACAAACAGCATGATCCAAAAAAGTTAATGCATACATGAACAGCATCATGACCCCCGATCCAGGTTCTCGTTGCTCCTTGAGTTACGTATCTAATCAGGTTCTGCATAAAAGCGTACTCCTCATGGTTGTGTACAGAAGCAATATTCCCATCCAAGTGCAGACAGATTTTCTGTAGAGGCGGAGACATTAGCAAACACCATTGTTTATAAAAAGTCATGTCTATTTTAAATTACTATTCTAAAATCTGTGACATGCCTTTCGATTACCACTGAAAATAATTTGATTAATAATTGTATTTTATTTATTATTAATAATAATGTTATATCTTTATTATTTCATCTGCAAAGTCTAATATCCTCCTTGTGAGGTGGGAATACTCTTCTAAAGGGATGAACTTCGACTAACCATGTTAACATGAACATGAGGTTTTGAAATATTATAACTTCATATAAATAAACTTTTTGTGATGTTATCACACTACTGTCATGATAACATCAAATGTATTAAATCTGTATTTTCAAACCATTATGATTTTTCAGTATTATCACAGTGTATTATTTGCCCCATAGAGCTCCATTGTAATTGCTTTACTGTTTTTAAACTGAGGAACAAGTTGAAATTATTTTCCTGTGATAACCGACAGGTGTCACAGATTCTGACAAAGCTTGTATTTAAGATGTATTTACCATAAGAATCTTCTTATATTCTTTTTGCAGATTAGAAGCGAAATGTATCATACCTCGGCATTTATCCAGATTTGAGGGTTGTTGAAAAACTTGAAGCATCTACATCCAAAGGCAAACCATCCTGCCCTACAAGCTGTTAAATGAATAAATATATTTTATTTATTTTGTTTGTCATTTCATGTAATTAAATGTCATTTACATTACAGTAAAAGTTTGTTAAACGTGAAAATAAATTATTTAGATTTTAATAAAGAAACATCATGATGTGAAAAGAAAGCCATACAATATTTTGTCTAGTCACTAATCAAATAAGTGTAAATTTTTAAACATTAATTACACAAACTCCATTGTACAGACGATGCTCTTTAAAACATTTTTAAAGCATGCTGAAGAACATGATCATCAGGTTTACACACACCTTTAAGGTTTAAGTTAAGTTTTGGACTTTGGGACTATACTGTACATACACACTGACAAGAGAAAGAAAAGACAAGATAAGCCTTACCGCCACAACGTTTATCTCCACCTGTTTGAGGCAGCATTCCCCCTTGACAAGTGCTCATAATAATAATAATTAATATATACCGCAGATTAACAGGTGTTATGTGGTTGTATTTTATTGTTATGAATAACAAAATAAATGGTAACAATATTAATAACTGTTAATTAATAATAAACAATAATCATGTCAATAGTCAAACAACTGTTGATGTAGTATCGTCTTAATATTATCATCACAATTAAGAGAGAAATAGAACAAACTTAGATTTATTTTAATGCATGTTTATATTAAACTATTTTAATCATGTCAATACAGCATCCCAGGTGTGCTACAATCTACGATAAAATAAAAGCTATAACCTGATATAATGATGGTTTGTCTTACCTGAAGCAAGAGTTAAGAGAAGACAAAGAGACAGATAGACAGGCCAGACTGCCATTGTTTCTCAAAAAATGCTGGAACACTGCACAGAATTGAAAACAAATCTACTACATGTATTGTTCAGCAGAATTATAAATATATTGATATTTAATGGTTCAATTCTGTGACACAAACCAGTTCAGTCAGTGTATGCCGCTGTGAAGCCCTGCATGGTTTATCGTCTTATATACTGGAGGGTGTTTGTTTATCAGTATCAGCACCTGCTCATGTTCTCTTTTCCACTTCCTGTACAAATAAAGTTTTTGTACAGTTTGTACTTAAAAAAAATAAATAAATACTTGTAACATCATGATGATGTGAATTAATGCTGTTTCATGTGTTCCTGTTGTGTTTTAAAAGCATATTATTCATTATACATGGTGTAATTTTGTAATTGCACCATTGTTTTCATGTACATTGTACATTAATTTCTCACATGATGTTGTCATTTCACAAGATTCCCTTGGATCATTCTCAAATCATTCTGGACAACATTACCACCAGGTTTTACACAAACTTGTTGAGTCCATTCAGCTTGAGTGTTGTTGTCATTAAAATAAATGTTGTATTAACCAAATATAAATTCTGAGATTCATAAAGCTTTCGATCTCAATATGGAACATAATGTCCGGCGGCCCGAAACAGTGATCTTTGTACTCTTCTGTTCAGAGGAGTGAACATGGTTTTAGAGTGATGGTCAAAAATAAATGAATAACTATTTTAAATCATGTAAACGATAAACTTCTATGGCGCGACGTAATTACATAAATATATGCTTTACCGGTTTCAGAGTGAAATGCGGCATTTACACGTGTAGTTAATACAGTGTTTCAGCGTCTAATAATGCATGGTTCGTTTACTGTGAATCGAGCTGTTCTGAGAAGCTGATATATTAGCAGGACTCTACAGTAGCCTATGACCCGATGCTTGGGACCAGGCCCACTGCTGGCCAAATGGGTGCCCTAAGCAAAATTGTATTGTTGTGCCACCTCCCCCAAATATCATGGAAGAAAAAAAATATATACATAAAAATTATAGAGGTTGTAGCATTTATACCACAAAAAGGTAGCCAAAAATGAAAGATTAAGTGGATATTTTAATGAAATGTTTGGTGAATATTAAACAGCACATACTCATGTTCTCTTTCCCACTTGTACAAATTATATTTTTGTATAGTTTGTACTTGACACACTTTTGCTATAATACTTGAACCATTATTATGATGTGAATTAATGTGGTTTTATACCATATTATTCATCTATTCAGTATACATAGTGTAATTTTGTAATTGCATGAGTGTGCACGTTTTTATGGACATGGTACATTAATTTCGCACAATTTCTTGTCACTTCACAGTATATGGTTGTTCTGGATAACATGGTCATCAGGTTTTACACAAACTGGTGGAGTCCATTCAGCTTGAGGGCTGTTGTCATTAAAATAAATGGTGGACAAACCAAGTATGAATTCTGAGATTCATATACATTTTTAAATTTGCCTTTTTCAGTCAGTGTTATGGTGATAATACTGACACTTTATGCACTTTCACAAAAGTGGCACATGCAAACTGTAGAAACATTGTGTAAACAGCATGTGGGAAAAAAACATGGGCAGTTGCTGGTAATAACTGTTTGGGATCAGTAAGATTTTTTATGTTCTATGGTAAGTCTCTTATGCTCATCAAGGCTGCATTTATTTAATCAAAAATACAGAAGAAAAAAAAACAGTTATATTGTGAAATATTATTACAATTTAAAATAAGATTTTTCTATTTTAATATACTTTAAAATATAATTTATTCCTGTGATCAAACCTGAATTTTCATTAGCCATTACTCCAGTTATCAGGGTCACATGAAATAATATAATTTGCACATCAAAACTTATTATAACTTATTTAATAAACATGAAATGATACTTACTGATCCCAAACTTTTAAATGGCAAATATATACGTGACTGTGTGTAAAGGTGAGGTTCACATGGGAAAGAGATGAGTATGTTGCAAGCAAACGATTATTAAGCTCTCCACCAAAAAAAGATGAACTGGGTTTCATAGTAGCGGTAGTTTGGATTATTATGAAAGCCAAAACATTTTAAAGGCTTCAAGGCCTACGTGACAGTGACTGTGTAAAGGTAAGGTTCACACAGAAAAGAGGATGAGTATCGTATGTTGCAAGCAAATGATTATTAAACCCTGTCAGTTCACTTTAAATGCATATGTCTCTGGGGAGGCTTTGGGTTTCTGGAGAGGGTTAAATGAAAGGTTATTTATTTTAAAACAAAAAAAAAAAACCAAGAGGATAGATAATTATTTGTGGAAAGCAGGAGGAGTGACACTTATTTTAAAAATGGGCTACACTCTGATTTGTTTTTAAGTCATAATCTATGTATTTATGTCATTTTTAGGTCGTTTTCTAGCTGGAAAATGAGGTGATTATGTAGAATTTGTTTTACCCTAGCAAGCCTTCCTGCTGCTGCAAAGCATTCCACACAATGCACCACACAATGATTGGATCCCACATGCCTTCCGGCAAACATTAACAGTGACTTTCACTCTGACATAGGTTGCATTATGTTGTTAATTTATTTACTCATTTTTTGTTGTTTGTGCTGTTGTCCAAGATAAATATGTAACACTTTACTGTCTAACATTAAATCAACACTGCTTGTGAAAATGGTGAATGTTAAAATTTACACAGAGATGTGCAAGTAGCATCTGTTTTTGATTTCTTTATTTTACACATGCACATAATTCCAGGTGGTCCTAAACACAGTGATCTTTGTGCTCTTCTGAATTTTTATGACAGCCATCGTTTCAATTTTTGACACTTAGTCGACACTATACCCTCTCTCACAAACCATTATTATTCTTCATGATTTATGGTACATTCCTAAATACAGTACATCCACTGAGATCTAGTTGATCTATAGTCTGAAAACTTCTAGAATCTCTCACATCAGGAAAACTACTTCTATATTAAGTTATCTATATTCTAATTTAAAGTTACATCCACATGCTCAAAACAGATGGTTGTCAAAGGTAATCTGTAAATTTGAGTTTAATTAAATTTGTTAAATATTTTAAAAACACTGTTTCATTTTGCTCTCTAAAAACTGATTGGATTTATTCTTTTGACACATAAAGATTAATATAAAAATAAATATTTATTGATAACAGAAAAGTCAATTATAATTTTGTTAATAAGATTATTTATTTATTTAGAATGTTAATGTAACTTAAATTGAAAAAAGTTTGAAAACCCCTTCTATAAATTTGCATGCATAAAAAGGGTTATTTTTTAAAGTTAATTTTGCAAAGTTGGTCTCCATAATGAACACAGACTACCTGGTTAAATTGTGAGATGATGTCAAAAAATATTCTTTAATCAATGGCTCAGTGTTTTCTCTTTCTCTCTTGTTTTTGAGTAAACTGATGCTGATGAATAATCAAAGAAAATACTTTTTTTTCTATTACTGCTATAGCTTTGAAATAAGAAATAAGTCCAGTGTAGGGACTAGAGTCTTTTTTATTGATTATCTAATATATTTAGTTACAACATACCATTGTACTATCTTTTAAGCTCTCATCCAGCTTTTTGTGTCACTTATGTTCATTTTACAAGTAATGCTGAAGTCCTGCATGGCCATTTTGAGATGCAATATTACTTATTCATTCACTTGTCTGATTCATAAAAAATAAAAAATAAACACTTTTATTAGTCTATTATTATTTTATTATTTCTCCACTGAACATTTCTAAAAATAAATATAATGAGTCAAAGTAGCTCATTTTGTCTTCCAGTCAAACTTTTTACATGCTGCTTTTCACACACACAAAGGGCCTCCTTTCAGAACATGGTGTATCAGTTTGAAGCACCTTTATTTTTAAGAGTGTAGGCAGCAGATGCAGCGCATATTCAGCTTTTCGCTTCTGAGCCGAGCGATCACATCGTCCTGCTCCTGACTACTCTACTGAGAGAAGAAGACTGAACGAGTTCAGCGCGCTCTTGGAGTAATTTAATAATTTCATAAATTTCATAATTTAAAAGTTTAGTGCAGAAGTATCGAATCGGTATCGATATCGACGATACTGCCTTGAAAAATATCGGTATCGTATCGAAAACAAAATAAGGGGTATCGCCCATCCCTACTCTTCACCTGCTGCAGCGGCAGCTTTTCCCGGTTCAGATATCAGGGCTGTTATTGGTCCGTTTACACGATCGGATATCTTTATTGGCTACTGAAGGGCCGTCAAATGTTTGAATATCAATTCAAATTGTGGGCGTACTCAGTAACGAATTATGAAAAGTAACGAAGTAGATTATTGTGCTTCATTTGTACTTAAGTACAAGTAAAAGTACAGCTTTAAAAATATACTAAAAAAAAGTACAAGTACCCGAAAAAAACTACTTTATTACAGTAACGTGAGTAGTTGTAATTCGTTACCTCCACCACTGGCAGCAAATTAGGAGTTTGAGGCAAAAGTTGTAGTTAATGGTTTGCTAATAGCGAAATAAAGTGTGACCGCATTATGATGCTAATACCTGTATAATTATTTGTATAATAAAACATCTTTTTCTTTCTCATAACAGCTACAGGACATTGGAATGACCAAAAATGTACAGTCAAGATACCATTTGTGTGTGCCATATCTGGCTGATTTCTTTCCATACACACCATATTAAATCAGAAGTGGCATGCCTGTTCAATCAAATTTTTTTATTATTTCAAACATTTTTAATATAGTGCAAATGTACCAAAATCACTGATTCTATGTTCAGTTGCAATTCTGATGCCTCTGCGTCAAACATCTTTCTTTCTGTAACTCAACAAATCAAATAGCAGTCATTTACTGTCCTGAAAATCTATTGCATCACAAATGGGGACACAAACAGTCATTGAAATAAAACTCCAAGAAGAGTTTTTCTGGGTAATTCATGTATCACAGGTTTTGTTCTTCAGCCTCTCCTGACTCACAAGTACTGCAGAGACACAAAGTGATAGTGATAAAGCTGAACATGTTCTCATAATGAACCGTGTTATATTCAGCCACATGAATCCTCATTTTCCTGTATTTTATGTTTTCTATGATAAAAAAGTGCCAAGTGTTTATAACATTCTTCATCATCAAAATTAAAAGGACAGCTCACCCCAAAAAGAAACTTACCCTGTTGTATCAGCATTTTCACAAAATGGCATGCACA